TGCAGGTTGCGGGGGGACAGGGGCCTCCACCTTGGGGCTGCTGTCTTGGGCAACAGAGCTCCTGCTCCCAGGGACGTCCAGTTCCCACAGAGGATCTGAATTCTGGACCTCAGTCTCGGTCTTGGTGACAGCAGGGGGAGGGCCCGTGTTGACAGTTGTGTTCATGCCATAATGCCGACGCTTGTTAATCCAGTACAACAGGGGGCTGTAGGTGAACGTGGCGGCTCTCATCACCTTCACCCACTCCTGGGCACGCTCTTCTCGTCGCAAGTTCTTCCTCCAGTGCAGAAAGAGAATGCAGCCACCGGTTACCACAGAACACAGCCCCAGGAATCCAAAGTACAATGAGACCCATACTAAGGCAATAAGAAAGAAAAAGAGGCAAGCTGGCTGATAGCTCTAATTGGGGCCTGAGCTGTTTCTCATTCTTTCCCTTAACCCTTTCATCAATTATCCCATCCACTTAACCACTCTCCGTTCCTCCCTTCCCTCATTGACTTGTCTCATCATTCTCTTATTTAGTCAATGCTAGATTTCCAGGGAGGTTAGGAGGCCATCTTTAGTCCTTTACAGATAAGGAAAGTTAGGTCTAGAGGGGGCATGACCTGCCCAGGCTTGGTCAAGCCTCTGATTCACCATCCTGGCCCCATCCAATCCATCAGATTGAGAAGCCTTACCAAAGGCAAGGCCCATCAAGGAAGTTAAAGTTTATCAGTTGACAAGGACATAGGTATCCCATCCCATTCCACCATACCCTTACCCATTCAGCTGTGATAGCCCTAGGGTATTCATAGAACCCCCCTCTGGTTCCGCAGAGAAACATGATCTCTGCCCTCAATCCTTAGTTTTCTAGAGGAAACTATATCCTAACTGCTTAGCACACCTCCAGGCAGGCAGCCACCACCCCATCCATGTAAAACGTTTACCCTGGGTGCCTGCTCTGAGCTAAGGCACAAAGCAAGGGGCAGGAACTGAAGGGGCATTTACCACCAGGGAGGCTCAGGTCCTCCCGCTGGGAATCCATAATTTCGAGCCCTGGTACCCAGCTGATGGCTCTGGGGAGAGGGAGCTCACCTACCCATCTGCCTAGCCAATAGGAGTCCCTGTAATGCTCAGCCCCATTGTTCCCTAAAGGTGAGGTCACTGAGTTCTGAGCATTAAACATTCTAGGGGCAGGGCTTGTGAAGCCTTGGGTAAACGAAGGAAAGGACTCTATCCAATGGTGTCCTTATAGGCATAGTGTATCTCTACTTCCAGGGATTCATCTACCCACTGAGCTGTCTGTCCCCCACCCCTTACCGTGAAGACAGGACCCCAGGAAAGGGACCCAGGTCTCTCAAGGGTCTATCCATGTTGCTGGGCTTTAAGAAACAGTTGATGGATACCTGTCGAAACCTGTTCAAGGGAACTAAGTGATCAACACCTCAGTCCTTGACTCTTACAATCTCTCTTTTGTTTAGTTACCTTCCTTCAACAAGTGTTAGCCAATCTTTCCTGAGCATCAGGCCCTGTAGGAGCTCCCCACCATCTGGCCCTACATCTTTTTCCAGCCTCACCTTCCTCCCTATCCTTTACATACCTTCCCCTCTGACCAGGCCAGACTCTTGAACAGACCCTGCCTATTCACATCTCTGGACTTTTGCTCATAATGCTCCTCCACCTAGGAGTGTCCTCCCCACTTCCCCCCAACTGAACACCCACTTACATTTCAAGGCTCAGCTTAGCCCCCCAACTCTGTGACAGTTGTTTCTGTTGGCTTCCCAGAATCCCATCATCTCCAGTTTGAAGGGACTTTGACAGCTGCTACTCCAACTCCTGTCAGATGCTTGAGGCCTGGAGGTAGACCTCTTCTACCCAGCAGCCAATGCTTCAGGACTCACCTGAATCAGGGACTTGCCACACCTCCTGTGGCAGCTCAGTCAGAAAGCCCTTCCCTAAATGAAGCCCAAGTCAGCCTCCCTGCAGGCACAACCCTGGGCCTAGCTCAGCTTCTTGGCACCATTCAATTCCTTCTTTCTAGTCCCCTAGCCTGTGACTATTCAGCACAGATTTCCCTCCAGGTTCCACTTGCCGTTGGCTCTCCTATCTCACTCACTCCTGCTTTTCATTGTCTTTGCTGATTTCTTCTCTTTTCCCTGATCTCTCAATGTCAATGTGCCCCAGGGCTCGGTCTTCAGCCTTCTATGTATATTCATTCCCTCTGTGATCTCATCCAGACTGTGGTTTTAAATATTATACATGCACTGACTGACAACTCACACTTTATTTATGTCCAGCCCAAACTGCTCCCCAGGACTTTGAACTCATTCACCTAACAGCCTGGTTGACATGCCTACCATTACGGGGATTAAGTCTATTACGTTTTCTCAAACTAACATGCCCCCCAAACTTCTGATCATCCAGCCTCCAAAACCTACCCCAGACTTCCTCCTCTCCATAAATGGCAACTCTGTCCTTCCAGTTGTTCAGACCAAGAGACTGTAAGTCACCCTGGACTCCTTTTATTCTCTTGTGGCCACATTTGCTCCATGAGCACAATCATTAGGCCTTGCCTTCAACACACATCCAGAATGTAACCACTGTCCCATCACTATCACTTCTTTCTAAGCACTGCCCTCCCCCACTTTGAGTACTGGTCTCCCTGTAGGGTGACCAGCCATCCCCATTTGCCCTGGACTGAGGACGTTTCCAGAATAGCAGATTTTTGACACTAAAAACAGGAAAGTCTCAGGCAAACTAGGACAAATTGGTCACCCTTGGGAGAACTTCCATCCTTGCTGCAGCACCCCCACCCCACCGCCACCCACCACAACATGCCCTGTATTTCACCAGCAACCGGAAAGAGGCTTTTAAAAAGTAGATTAAAAAAAAAAAAAAGTAGAGCATGTTACTTCTCTGCTCAAAACCTACATTGACTCTCCATCATACTCAGAATAAACAAAGTCCTCAACCAAGGTCTACAGAGCCCTAAGTGATCTAACTACCCCTTCCCATACCTCTTCACATAAGAACCTCCTTGGTGTTCCAAAAGTAGGGCAGGTATGCTCCTGCATCGAGGCCTTTGCACTTACTGTTCCCTCTATCTGGAAGGTTCTTCTCCCAGATATCCAGATAGATGATTCCGTCATTTCCATCAACTCTCCGCACAAATGTCCCCTTATCTCTATCTCTCTTACCCTGTTTTGTTTTTCTTCATAGAATGTATCATCACCTAACATTACAGTTGACCCTTGAACAATATGGGGGTTAGGGACAACAATCCCCTGCACAGTTGAAAGTCCATGTGCAACTTTTGACTCCCCCCAAACTTTACTAATAGCCTACTGTTGACCAGAAGCCCTACACATCAATAGATTAACACATATTTTGTGTATACAGTATATGCCATATTCTTACACATAAAGTAAGCTAAAGAAAATGTTAAGGAAATCATAAAAGAAAACACATTTACAGTGTTGTAAAAAATCCACGTGTAAGTGCATCTGCACAATTCAAACCCGTGTCGTTCAAGGGTGAACCGTTTATTTTTTGTCTCTTACCCCACTAGAATGTAAGCTCCATGAATAAGTGTAAACAAGGAAATAACTACCTAAGAATTTCAGATAGAATTGCTATGAAGAGAATAAAATAAGGTAGTGGGATAAAGAATATAAAGGGATAGGGGGCATCAAGAAAAGTCCCTTTGAGGTGCTGACTTGTAAACTGAGCCATAAATGATGAGGAGGGAGCCTCATGCAGATCCAAGCAGAGGGATCAGCCAGTTCAAGGATCCTGAGGCAGGTATAGGTCAGCACACTTGAAGGACTTACTAATCTCAGAGTCTACCACACTACTTCCAGCACAGGTCAGGGCCCAGGGCCAATCTCCACAAGTATAGGTTAGCCTGAGAAGAGTTGAAGATCCTGTCCCTGCCCCAGAGGAATCCACCATTCAGGAAGTGTTTCTACCAGGTAAGACCCAGACAGGAAGTCCATGAAGACTTGAAGTCATGAAGTCTGTCTGTCCATGAAGACAAATTGATCAGTGCCATTGTAGGCTTGTTCCAGGGCCCTGTGCTGGGAGTGGGACACAGAGATGTTGATGTCACTGTCCATGATCTCAGGAACTCCCACTTGGTTCAAGGGGATGAAGAAGACTGTGGTGGAGTACCTGGGTGGCTCAATCGGTTAAGTGTCCCACTCTTGATCTCAAGTCAGGATCTCATGGTTTGTGAGATGGAGTCCAGCATTGGGCTCTTCACTGACAGTGGGAAGCCTGCTTGGAATTCTCTCTCTCCTCTCTCTGTCCCCCCACCCTTGTTCATACACACACTCTCTCAAAATAAATAAATAAACTTAAAAAAAGATGGTATTGGGTCAAGAGAGAGGAAAGAAAGAACATTCCAAGCATCAAAAGCAGCCAAAATAGACTTGTCAGGGACAGACCCAGGTGTCTCTTTAGGGAGGAGGGTAGTTCAGTTTGGCTGGCGCTCAAAGTGGATGTCAGGAAGCAGAGGGAGACAAGGCTTCGGAGGCAGCCGGCATCTTGCAAAGAGTTCAGTCCTTGGGTAGAACTTAGACAAGTTCTCTTAATGACCCTCAGCCTCAGTTTCTTCATTGGTAAAATGAGGAAAAAGCCTGCCTCACAGGGTATGAAGCAGTTAGTGTCCTGCACACAGAAACACCCAGTAAAGAGAAGCTGTTACTGTGATTCTAGTTGATGAAAGGACCTTGGATGCTGAAGGACAACTACTGCGGCGAGTGCCAAGAGAATCTGAGAGGGAGCAATCTCCGTGAGGACCAGCAGCAGGTCCGAGCGGCTTTAAGAAGAGACTTGGAGCGCACAGACTGTTGGACCCGAGCGGGAGGGCGTGGAGGCCAGCGGGCTCGAGGGAGGAGGCGGGCCGCGGCGCTCCGAGCGGCGGGCAGAGCGGCGAGCTCCCTCCTCCCCGCTGCGCCTCACCTCGCCCTCTCTGGGGCCCGGAACCTTGCGCGCGCGGAACCTCGGTGCCGGAGCCGGGGCACGGCAGACCCGGAGCGCGATGGAGCCGGCGCGCGGGCCGCGGGCTGAGGCCGACGCGCACGAGGAGGAGGAGGCGGGGGCGGCAATGGCTGCCGTGGTGGCGGCGGCCGGTGGCACCGGCCCCGCCGTGCTGCAGGTGGCCGGTCTGTACCGGGGCCTGTGCGCGGTGCGTAGCCGCGCTCTAGGACTGGGGCTCGTGTCCCCCGCGCAGCTGCGTGTGTTCCCGGTGCGCCGCGGCTCGGGCCGGCCCGCGGGGGGTGCCGACGGCAGCGGGGCCGGGGCCGAGCTCGAGGCCAACCCCTTCTACGACCGCTACCGGGACAAGATCCAGCAGCTGCGCAGGTGCGGGCGCCGGCCGGCCGGCCGGCGGCGGGCTGGGAGGGGCGGCGCGCGGCCCGCGTTTCTGGTGGATCCGACATCCTCGGTGCTTAGAACAGCCCTGCGATGCGGGCCCGGTTGCTGTCACTACTCTATAGATGATGCGTCCGGGCTCAGAGAAGCAAGGTCACTTGCTAACATCGCACAGCTAGGGTCAGAGCTGAGAGTCTCTGCAAAGTCCTCGCTCTTCCCCCAGTTGTCTGTCTCTGTGCTCTAGTTCTCAAAATGCAGAGGTGGAATCCTGTGTCAGATCTTATGAAGTAGGCAGTTCCAAGAGACCTGCCCTCATTATAGAAATGGGAACGTGGAGCCTTTCATAGAAAGGACTTGACTTGCTCAAGGTCACATATTGATTCACTGGGGCCTGGCCTAGAACTGGGGTTCCCAGGTTTCTAGCTACAGCCCTGACTACAAGGAAAGGAGTTTGGGGGAGGGAGCAGGGCGTCAAAGACTAATGGTGTGGCAGTTGGATCAACCACCGAATCCTCTCATTAAGATGAGGAAACTGAGAATCAGCATCAGAGATCTGGCAGAGGTCACACAGCTGGTTGGGATTCATCTGTCTTGGAATCCAGGATTCCTAACACTTCTTCTCAGCTTCCAGATAAAATGACTTGGAGATCAAGAGGCTTAAGGTGGGTGTAAGGGGACCAAGGGAGGGTCTGAAGAGTTTAAGTGGGAAGAACTGAAGGAGATCAAAGATGAAAATTAAAGGGGCTTGGGAGAGAATTTGGCAGGGTGGGCAGGCAGTTGGTTTGGGAAACCAAAGACTGAGTACTATTAACTTCTTTGGGTTCTGTCTCACCTCTACTTCCATGGCCTTAATTTACTCCTCCGTCATCTCCTGGACTCTTGGCAGTCATCCACCAGCTAGTCTTCACCACTTCCACCCCAGTCCAGCTCACTGCTGCTATTGTGATCTGTCTTCGCTTTTTGAAAAAAATGACAGAATAAAGGAATGAGAATTTTTGCTCTCTTTTCAGCAACGTTCATATATACTCAAGAATTTCTCATCTTTAAAACCTTTCCTTGACCTACATTCCCCTCCAGTCTTTTCTCATTGATCCCTTTCACAGGCAGGCAGGCATCTTAGCAGAGTTGTCTACTCATACCCTGAATATTTCACAGCTCCCATTCATTCTTACTCATGAACCAATGAATGGCAGGTTTTATTCTTCTTCCCCACTAGATCATTCCCATCAATATTTACACATACTGACATCTCCTAAAGAGTGAGCTTTCTAAAGCACCCACAATGACTCTGGATAATGTCCATATTCTGTAGTGTTCCACACAAGGTTCTCACGCTGTAGTATCTGTCAGTCTCTCTATACTCACGAAAACCTGGGCTCTTGTAGTACCAGCCCCAGGTTTGGTTTGAGCCAATAGCAGGACAAGGCTGTGTGCCCTGCTGACCCCTTCCAGCCTAGTATCTGGATTTTGCATCATACTCTGCTTTGGTGAATTGGGAGGATATGATCTAGCTCCAGACCCACTATATCTAGAGTGTGGACAAATTCCAGAGAGCAGGTTGATAGTGAGGAAATATTCACAAATTACTATATAAAGAAGGACCAAAAGAACTAAGGCAGGTTTAACCTAGAGAAAAATTTAGAGGGTGACATAATAGTGATTTTCAAGTACTCAGATAAAAAGAATTAGACATTTTTTTTTCTTGTTCCTAAGAGTGAAAGATACAGATAGATTTAGGCTCAGATGTTTTAATAATAAAAGATGTCCAAGGTGGGAGTGCACAGACTCCAATGTCTGGGCTGCTCCTCACTCACTCTACCCACTCACCGTAGCAGACCCAGGCACAGCTGTGGATGCTTGCAGCACTTACCCTGGTCCTGGCATTTGCAGTCCCAGCTGGGTGGGTGCCACATCCCACAGGACAGGACCGCTAGACTGACTGTGTACTAAGTTGCTGCTCTGCTGTGGAGGGGAGGAAGACGATCTGCCCATGTAATGGCAATGAAGGGAGTGGTGTTCCTCTGGAATGGAGGAATGGAGTGTTATGGAAGAGGAGTCCCATACAATGCCTTGACCGGGAAGGACTTCACCAGAGTGGTGATCACGATGCCCTTTGGATCCTGCAGACCTCACCTATGACAGGTCTTATGGCCCAGGAGCTGGAATCCCTATATGAGGTCTTCACCAAAGTGTACAGTGGCAAATATCACCTTGTTGCCTACACAGCCTGGAGACTTCTTAACAAGGATGTCAGCCCCAACATAGCCTGAAGACTAGCTTCATTTTGACACAAAGGACAAGTTCTGCTGTTCCATCTGCAGGAGCAAGGTCTTGGGAGAGAATCAGGGAGATACTCAGATACTAAATCTCCTGCAAAATAGGCTGCCTAAAGCCTCTGAATCATCTGCATCTGAATAAACAAGTATTTAACCTGGGAGTGGGGGAAAGAGGATGTCCAAGAACTAAATGTGTTCAAGTAACAGTGTTCAAGTAAAAACATCTACTAGGAGTGCTATTAGACTCCTGCCTGAGTAGGACAACCAAGCAAGATGACTTCAAAGTCCCCTTCCCACCTTGAGGACTGAATTCCAAGGATGTAGAGTATAAGTACCTGAGGGACCAAGCTCTGCATCACCCTAGGAAATATCCTGCAGGAGAAGAATCATACACAGGCCCCTTGAGGATTAACAGTTGTTAAATGACTGGATATCTTTGTCCACTTTCTTGATTTGTAGGCAAATCCTTCAACCTCTGAATGCCTGTGTCCTCTCTCTCTGGAAGTGGAACATGATGCTTTGTTATTTCCAAATCCAAAAAGGCTCAAGGAGTTTAACTTTTGGTTTACCTTTAATCAGATCTGACCCAGCTGCTTTTGAATCCCGACTAGAGAAGCGCAGTGAGTTTCGGAAGCAGCCAGTGGGGCACTCCAGGCAAGGTGACTTCATCAAATGTGTGGAACAGAAGGTAAGACCTGCCCCCTTTGTGTTTTTGGCTCACCAGTGCTCCACCCCCCTGAATGTAGCCTCATTATATTCATCTCAGGCTCCATCCGTAAAGGGTATCCTGCTCTTTCTGGCAAGGTGCTGTGGTCGTGGTAGAGAAACAGAGGGATGAAAAAGGCATGCTTCTGGGGGGATGCAGTAGAGTGGTCAAAGCAAGGCACACATGGCAGTGGGCTGTAGGGATCAGGGGACAAAAAAAGTGCTTCATAGCTATTATTATCCTTAAACAAGAATCAAAGCTGGGGAAAGCATGTTGAAATCTAATGCAGTGCTTTTCAAACTTTTTGATCATGAGCCACAGTAAGAAATAGATTTTACATTGCAGTTCAGTACACACATGTGTATGATTATAACTGAAGCAGTTTTTACAAAACAATGCTTACTTTTAGTACATGCAATGCATCTTATTTTCTTTTAAAAACCTTTGGTCACAATCTAGTAAATTGATTTCACAACCTATAATTTGAAAAATACTAACCTAGGGGCACCTGGGTCACTCAGTCAGTTAAGCTTCAGACTCTTGATTTTGGCTCAGCTCATGATCTCATCGTGAGATCAAGTCCCACATTGGGCTCCCATGCTGAGCGTGGAACCTACTTGTGATTCTCTCTCTCTCTCTCCCTCTCTCTCTGCCCCTTCCCTGCTCACGTGTGTGTGTGTGCGTGCACGCACACACACATACGTGTACTCTCTCAAAAATAAACATTAAAAAAAAAATACTAATCTAGAGTGGTACATAGAACAACTTGGGGGAAAAAAAAGAAAAAGAACAAATTGGAGTGGGAGAGGCTAACACCAAGAAGGATATGCAGTAATCCAGGTGTAGACTTGAGATAACATACAGTAGAAAATTGGGATTCTGCATTGTGTTTTAGCATGAGAGATTTTTATTTAATTTGGAGAATAACTTTTTTTGCCTTAGGTGTTTTAAATTTTAAGAGAATCCGCTCAGTTTTTTAATAACTGAGTGAGTTCATTAGAACAAAAGCAATAGGTACTGGGTTAATCATTGCAAGATTGGGGAGCAAATTCAACTTCCTATGACAAATATAGTTTACAACTTTATGTGAACAAACAGGTCTCTACTACAATATTTTAACAAATATAATTTCCCATAATAAACATTTATAGTGCCAAGATTACAAGTCAGTAGCTCTTGGAAATATTACTATATTATAAACTTTTAATCTGACATGGGAAAGCTCTTTGTCCCCTTTTGTAAACAGAGTTAGAAATTCAACTTTATGATGACAAGATAAAATGTAAGTAAAATGTAATTTAATTTTTTTTTTAATGTTTATTTCTTTTTGAGACAGAGAGACAGCACAAGTGAGGGAGGAACAGAGAGAGAGGGAGACACAGAATCTGAAACAAGCTCCAGGCTCTGAACTGTCAGCACAGAGCCTGACGTGGGACTCGAACTCACAAACCGTGAGATCATGACCTGAGCCAAAGCCGGATGCTTAACCGACTGAGCCACCCAGGCGCCCCTAAAATGTAATTTAAATTATGGCAACTCCTGGGTAAATAATGACTTTCTGTCTTTACTATCTAGGTAGATAGAAGAGGGCTAATGACTCCATTCCCAAAGCCTTTTCTTAACTCTGAGTCATTGGTTCCCTACCACATGAGACCCAACATCCCCTTTTTTAAAAAAAAGTTTTTTTAATTCTCCATTTTATATACTGAAATGGTATGTAGACAATGTAACCCACTGGTGCACATAATTTCAGGGGGAAAAAATCAATATAATGCCCTAGCTGTAATATAAAGGAAAGAACTTTTTAATAAAATACTTATTTAGTAGATGATATGAATGATATTTTTCTATAATGAATGAATGATACAAATGAAATTTTTATAAGTGAAATTTAGTATCTAAGTTCTTGAGCACAACTATGCTGTGAAACCTAATGCAGTCATCAGAGGTTTTCGCCTCCATGTGAAATCCCCATGAAGACGTAAGCAGCAAATATTGACTGGTATAGGGGTGTTACATTATTACTTTAAAAAAACTCCCAAATCATAAGCGATGTTGTTTTCAGTGATCCTCATGAGATTCCATAATGTACAGCCTTCTTTTAAGTTATATAATAATTGCATTTCTGAAAATTTCAGTGTTTGTTAAAGCCATGTTAAAGAGAGAGAGAGAGAGAGAGAGAGAGAGAGAGAAAGAAAAAGAAAGAAAGAAAGAAAGAAAGAAAGAAAGAAAGAAAGAAAGAAAGAAAGAAAAGGAGAATTAGATTCTAGATGCAAGTAATTGTAAAAAGGTTTTTCACTTACAAGGATATTTGGCTAGACCCTGAAAAGTTGTGCAGGATGAGGGAAAATTCATTATGTGGAACTCATCAGCAAGATCACAGCTCCTGGCACCCCTTCCCTTGCCATAAATACAAATGTCTTCATCCAGTCAACTATTGTAATAATAGAAAAGTTGTCCACACAGATTTCCAAAGCATCTGTAGGGGAGTATTAATGTACCCATTTTAATGTTTTATTAAGTGCTCTTGACACTTTGGGCACATACTTTCAACTATAATTTTAATTACCTTATTTCATTATTTCCAAAGTCTACTTTTTTTTTATTTTTACATTTTAACATTTCCAAAATTGTCTTAAAATTGATGTGATCTGAAAGTATGCTATCTTATTTAGTTAGCGTCATTTTCTGATGCATCAAATAATGGTGCTTCTTAAGAGGTGTCTTAGGGTTAGATAAAACACACTAAGCTTATACTTAGAGCTTAAATTTGTTATTTCTATAAGTGCAAATGGAAATAAAGAATGGATTGGAGGGACATTGTGGGAAAAGAATACATCAGGCTTAGTGAGTAAGAGTAGAAGGCGCTGTGCAGGTGGAGGGCTTCATTTGTTTTGTTTTCACGACGCATATGAAGGTGAGTGGTATGAAAATGAAATCCATTCTCTCTTTTCTGGAAAGTTTACATATGAAGGACAGACTGCATTAGGATGCTGCCACAGGATAGGGGTATGACCAAAAAGACCAGGGTGTATCCAATAGATTTTTCTACACCAGACTTTTGTCTAATTTATGGGTACCAGTCTGTGGGCATCATTTATGAAAGGTTTGAATTTGTGAAGGCACAGAATAACAAAAGACAGGGTTTTGTGCAGAAAGTGCTTTTTAGCCTCAGAATCCCAGGTATAGATTATACTCCTTCTGAAAGGCATGGACTTGAACTAAGAAATTCAGAGGAAGACTCAGAAGAAACCATCCATGCTATGAGAAATCTCAAAATAGGATTTCCTGGATGTGGCCTTTCTCAGAAATAGTGGGCAGGAGAAGAAATAATCACTAATTTGATGGAGGGAATATTAAGAGTATGTGCTGGAGGGACGTCTGAGTGGCTCAGTCGGTTAAGCGTCTGACTTCTGCTCGGGTCATGATCTCACGGTTCATGGTTCAAGCCCTGCGTCAGGCTCTGTGCTGACAGCTCAAAGCCTGGAGCCTGCTTCAGATTCTGTGTCTCCCCCTCTCTGCTCCTCCCCTACTCGTGTTCTCTCTCTCTCTCTCAAAAATAAGATTAAAAAAAAAAATTAAAAAGAGTGTGTGCTGGAAAACACTCTAGTCTGATGAGGATGGCTGCCATCAGAAGTGCTGTCACAGATAAGAAGTAGCCTTGGAAAATACATTTTTTCATTTTTTGCCTTCTTTGTGGCTCACTATGGAGCAGATCAGAGAGAGCAGAGCGCAGGAAACCCAAGCAGCTCTCATTCTGGGAAGGAGTCCCTCATGTCCATAGTGGCAGGTATGGAATGGACTCTCAGTACCATTAGATGGTAGTTACTAACAAAGAATCTTTTTTCATCTCTGTATCTCAAAAGCTTAGTCATAGAAAAGTTATATCACAAACAATAACTCTTCGAACAGTGTGTACAGTTACTATATAGAATAGAGAAAAGTGAGTTCTGTAGTGTCAAATTACTAAAATGAGATATTGGGCCCTTCACCTAGCTTAGTGGTCTTTTTCTTATGAGTAAAGCACAGATAAATATCCTGTCTCAACATGTATTTCAGACAGACCCCTTGGGGAAACAGCCTGTGAGCAGAGGATTCACTAAGGACAAGGTAGGTTTCTAATTAAAGATCCAAGTCTGGAGTCATGTGGAACATCTATAACAAGAGGCTGCAAATTTGAACATATTTACCGTGGTTCAGCAATTTGACGATTTTTTTTTTTCCAACTGTGGAGATGAGAAATATTTCTAAAAATGTTTATGTCCTTGATATAACCTCTAGCATAGTCTGGGTCCCGGGGGTGCTATGGGAAATATGAAGTAAATACAGTAATATAGAAATAAAGATACCCTTTCTTTCTATAGGAAGTATTTTTTTGAAAGATCAAAGCATGTTTACACTCATTTAATTTGCAAATAAGGAGCCACCTCTGGTAGAATAGCAGTTAAGGTAACAACCAGATTTTCTTCTCTTACCAGCTACAAGGTGCTGTAGTGCTCATTAGTGAGGATGAAGCATTCAGAAAGTACTTATAGATACTCTCCAGGAATAGTACTGTGAAAATCTGCCTGGGCTTAGGGGTTCACTTCTCTGGGCATGCAGATTTTCTTATACATGTTTTCTACTTACCGAAGATCTGCTCCACTGTCCTGATATGTTGCATCTGACAAGGCTTATAGATAGAGCTAAGCTATTTTATTTTTTAAATTGTGGATGTTAATTGCCTTTTATTTTGTCATCCAGACTCTCAGTTCAATCTTTAACATTGAGATGGTGAAAGACAAAACTGCAGAAGAAATAAGACAGGTAATGAATGAAAATGGATTGGCATACTTTATGAAAATGTGTGCTCTGTAAACCAAATCTGGAAGTAGAAAGCAGCATACATTTCTTGATACCTTTTTCTAGCCAAAATGAAAGGTGGTCATAGAAAGGAGAAGTTATGAATTACATGAAAAAGAGTGGTATAAGAAAGCTTGTCCTTATTGGTTTTACTCCTATATGTCTCACCAACTCACATTTCGCCTTTCTGTTTCATTCCTGTTGCCCACATCTTATTTATTTTTTTTTTATTTTTTATTTTTTTAAAATTTTTTTTTTTCAACGTTTTATTTTATTTTGTATTTTTGGGACAGAGAGAGACAGAGCATGAACGGGCGAGGGGCAGAGAGAGAGGGAGACACAGAATCGGAAACAGGCTCCAGGCTCCGAGCCATCAGCCCAGAGCCCGACGCGGGGCTCGAACTCACGGACCGCGAGATCGTGACCTGGCTGAAGTCGGACACTTAACCGACTGCGCCACCCAGGCGCCCCACCCACATCTTATTTAAAATCATCCATACCGGGGTGCCTGAGTGGCTTAGTCCGTTAAGCATCCACCTCTTGATTTCTGCTCAGGTCATGATCTCATGATCTCACCAGGCTCTGCACTGGTGTGGAGCCTGCTTAAGATTCTCTCTCTTCCTCTCTCTGCCCCTCCTCTGCTCATGTGCACTCCCTTCTCTCTCTCAAAAAATAAAATAATCAGTACCGTTTCCTGGCTTGCTGTACTACCTGTCTGAATAGGTTTCCCTGCTCTTGTTTCTCGCTGCTTTTCCACCTCTCATAACCTTACCAGTTTCATTATGGAGAAGCATAGTATATTGGTTAAGAACACAGACTCCAGGCCAACCTGCCAGTTTTAAGTCCTGGCTCTGCCACTTTACATGAATGACTTTGATAAGTTAGTTGATCTCTCTGGGTCTTAGTTTCCCTATCTGTAAAGTGAAGATAATAATAGTACTTATCTCTTAGAGGTATTTGAGGAATTAAATGAGTTAATATTTATAAAGCATATAGAACAGTGCCTGGCACAGAGTGAGTGCTACATTTGTATTTTTAAGTAAATGAATAAAAATAAGTATTTTGTTAGTAACCCGCTTGCAAATGTTCGGTGACTTCCCATATTCATTTGCTTAGCATTCAGAGTCCTCTGTTATAGGCTCTCCTTCAGGAAACTTTCTGGACACTTCAAAGCACTTACCATCTATCCTGCCTGTTTGGTCATTCCACATGCCTTGATTTGCATTGCTATTTACATTTTCATGTCTGTGATTCTTTTCTCTCTAATTAGACTATAATCGATCTATTGGTATTCTTTGTAATTCCATTAATTATTTTAGGTATATTGAGAAAATCAAAATCATAATAAAAGCAGTAGACTGTGTCAGGTCCTGTACTTAATGCTTCATATGCACTATTGCATTAAATTCTCATAACTGCCTTGTAAAGTAGGTGCTATTGCTTCCAATTTACAACTGAGGAAACTGTAAGATTAAGTAACTTAGTCAGTGGTAGAGCTGGGACTCAGACCCCTGTCTGTTTGACTCTGCTTCATATTCCCTTTCCGGAAGTTGTGCCAGTTGCCACGAGTTTTCTTCGGGTGCTATATCATTTGTTTCAGCAGAAGCACTTATTGAATACCTATTAAATGTCAGACTGTATGTCAGACCCATAAATTAAATGAGAGAATCCCTTACTCTCAAGGAGTTTTAACCTAGTAGAAGGACAGACACAAAAACAGATAAGAACAGCACAGGTTCTAACTTCTGTTAATAGAGGCTTATGCAAAGTCTGTAGGAGACCTCAAACTGTCTTTGGGAAGAAGTGCCAATAGAAAGTGGACACCAAGCATGTCCTTTAGGAGAGAGAAAAGCCAGGCCCAAGCAGCTTGATCATGTGGTGAATATCATTCAGACTTACAATTTTAGACATAAGTTTGTGTTTGTTAAAAGAATTTTGAGTAACCAAGATCAACTGTGTTAGTAAACATCTGTCCATTCTATAAATTTCAGTGTTGGTTCATGACCTATCTACTAATATAGATTAAATAAAAATAGCTGGATGTGCTGTCCTTAAAATGAAAAGACAGTGTCTGACATGCAAAAAAAAAAAAAAAGGCAAAGCAACTTTAGGCTGCATTGACAGAGTGATTTGCCCAGGTCCTAGAAGGTAATAGTCCTCTATACTCTGTGTTGGTTAGATCATACTTTGATTAGTGTCTTCAGTTAGGGCTCACCCATCTTTTTTTTTTTTTTTTTTTTTTTTTTTTTTTATTAACTTCTTTTTTATTTTTTTTAAATTTACATCCAAATTAGTTAGCATATACTGCAACAATGATTTCAGGAGTAGATTCCTTAGTGCCCCTTACCTATTTAGCCCATCCCCCCTCCTACAACCCCTCCAGTAACCCTCAGTTTGTTCTCCATATTTATGAGTCTTCTCTGTTTTTCCCCCCTCCCTGTTTTTATATTATTTTTGTTTCCCTTCCCTATGTTCATCTTATGTTCCCTTATGTTCATCCCTTATGTTTTGTCTCTTAAAGTCCTCATATGAGTGAAGTCATATGATTTTTGTCTTTCTCTAATTTCACTTAACATGATACCCTCCAGTTCCCTCCATGTAGTTGCAAATGGCAAGATTTCATTCTTTTTGACTGTAGGTCTCACCCATCTTAATGAAAATGTTGACAAAGCAGAGAATCTCTAAAGGAAGGTGGCCTGTTCTTCAAAAGCTCACTCAGGTGTCACCTTGGCTGCGATGCCTTCCCCAACTTCTGTGCCTTTGCTGATGCTGTCATTCTCTGCTTAGAATAGGTCTCTTCTATGGTGTTTGTCTTCCCAGCCTCCTTGTTCACCCAGCTAACCCCTGTTCATTCTTCAGGATGCAGCAAAAGTATCCCTTCCTCTGGCACTCATTCCCTAACTTGGGTTAAGTGCCTCTTTGTTGCCCTCAGAGCACCTTGTCTCTGGTTTGCATTATAATTCTGTTGTGCTAAGCACAAACCTACTTTATTTCAGCTAGTCTTCACAACAATCCTGTTAGGTTGGTTTTATTGCTATTTTACTGATGATTATATTGATGTTATATAGTGATTTCTAATAATTTGCCCAAAGTAGCATGGCCAGCAAATGATTGGAGCTGGGATTTGCATCCAGGTCTGCCTGACTCCAGACACTGAGTTCTGAATGACTGATGTCCTGGCTGTCTGACAAGGCCCACAGTTGGCTGGGGAATATGAGTTTGGGGAAGGGAAAAAGAAGGTAAAAGAGCATGTCTGTTACATACAGGCACATCACATCTTGAGAGAAATGATTAACAAGATCATGGAATCCATTTGTCCATTCCTAGCAGGAATTTGTTACAGAGTTACAGTTTAATCATCTAGAAGAGTAGATGGTATTAAATCTTTTTTGTAATCATGTACTAGTAATAAAAGCATCACGTTGGGTTTTCTTCCCTGTTGTCAAATAGCATATTACTCTGAGCAATGAAAGCTGTCACCATTTCTTGGCGCAGGTTGAAAAGATTACCCACATGTCACAGACACCCTCTCTTTTTTGTACAGATTTGGCAGCAGTATTTTGCAGCAAAGGATACAGTCTACGCAGTTATTCCTGTAAGTAGTTTGGAGGGGAAAATGAAAGTGTTATAACATGAAGGTCAGGTCTCTACCCTTAGCAGGCAGTTGCCTTTACTTTCCAATGTTTATTGCCTCTTGAGAACTTACATTTATAGCTCTGAGCGTTTTTATTATGCCCTAAACACCAAAGATTGGAAGCTCCATATGGTATATTTATGGCTCTTGTTTTCCCTCTTTCTGGTTTAGAAATGTCTCTTAGACTCAAGTCTCTGGCAAGGGAGCATGGTATAAGTTCATGTTGCTGAGCAATTTCCAAATGTATTTTACTTCTTTTTGGTGTTTCCCAGCCACGCTGTTGGAATTTCAGGCAGGGCCTCTAGCATAGCTTTTCTTCCCCTTTTGTCTATAAGTGACCTATTACTGAGCTGACTTAGAGCCTCCTCCTAGGCTTTTTCTGGCATTTCCCCTTAGCAAGTGGTGTTTTCTTTATTTTTTTCCCTGCTTGAAATTGCTGTCTTGGAGATAGTCACTGGCCACTGCTTGACCATTAAGGTTTGTGTCTGGGAAGGGGTGCTGCTGGCTTCTTCTGGTTCGGTGCCCTTACAACGACTTCTGCCATAAGGAAGTATTTGATGTACTGGATTATCAGCTAGTTCTTCCACTATTCTTCTTTCCTAAAGAGGAAGCCATTTAAGTTAAGTTATATCAAGCACACAAATAGATACTGAATTTACATGCATGAGTTTAAGATTAAGGAGGTAAACTTAGAGATGGAAAAATAAAGCCAGGCCTTTTGGTTGCTCTGAGAGTATTGCTATAATTTTTTCCCACCTCTTACATGTATATACCCTTGCCCTTCATGAGCTCAACAACCAAAAGGATCTATATTTTTTGTGATATTTTAGATCTCTAATACCGACTCATTGTTTGAACAGGCATTCTTGGCTCTCCCTCAGACAGCCTCAGTGGCACTTGGCAGAGTCCCTTGCAGAGTTTGGAACATTTGAAATATCCACTCTTGACGTGTAGTTCTGACAACGAGCAGCAAAACATAACATCACATTTTTCTCTCTGTCATAAGAGGGATTTGTAAATAATAGAACTTAAGAGATATTTTTAGTAATATTGAATAGAGTTCAATATTGGTGAATTTAAGTGTGGTTGAGGCCTTACGTCTTCTTGTTTTTGAATTTTCTTCTTTTCTGACCTGTAGGAAGAGAAGTTTGACTTGATCTGGACCCGAGCTCAGTCCTGTCCAACAGTAAGTTTGTAGTGGTCGTATGAGGATTGCTTATCAATTCTACCAAATAAGGATATTTTCTAGCCAATCTCTTCATACTCCATACTATCTCACATGTTATAGTGTTCTGTTTATTTAAGAAAGATGCTCACATGCTGACTCTACTGATAAGTGAGATTTTCAGCCTTAAGAAATCATGGGAATTATTTGTCCCAATAAGTGTCTCTGACTTTTTAGCCCTGTGACACAGTGTAGCCCTTTCTGATTAGGATCTCTTTCAGTATAAGCGAATGTGGGAGGCAACACCTGAGACCTTAATAATTTCACCTTCCTTTAATGTTCTATTTTATTGGCAGTTTCTTTTTGATTTTGGCCATGCTATCCTGATTGTATGTGCCTAAGGAATTATGAGATTGTTGCTGGAGTAATGAGCTGCCAGAAGACCTTAGGAAAAGGGAATTGGTGAGGTGGACCAGCTGATTTGGTGTCTGTAATAATTTCTAAGATTCTCAAATAGATTTTCCAAACATTACTGAGAGAAAATAAAAACATCTAAGTAAATGGAGAGATGTATACTATGGTCATGAATTGAATGACTCACTATCGGTGTCCTTTCCCCCCAAATTGATCTCTAGAGTAAATATCTCAGTCAAAATCCCAGTAGGCTTTTTTTTCTTTAAAGAAATTGACAGAGTGATTTTAAAAAATTATCTGGATGTCCAGAGACCTAGAATAACAAAATGATTTTGAAAAAAAGAACAGTTAGAGGACTTACATTTCATGATTTCAAGAATTAATATAAAGCTACAATAATGAAGACAATGTGTTATTGGCATAAAGATAGACATATAGATCAACAGAACCGAAGAGAGAATCCAGAAATAGACCAACATGTGCGGTCAGTTATTTTTTAGCAAAGGTGCCAAGGTAATTAAATGGGGAAAGGATAATCTCTTCAACAAATGGTACAAAACAGTTTGGCTTTCCATATGCAAAAAAATGAGTCTCTACTCTTGCCTCATACTGTATCCAAAAATTAACTCAAAATAGATAATAGATGTAAATGTAACTTCTTAAAAAAGCAATCTTAGGTTGAATGTTAGTGATCTTGAGTTTGGCAGAGATTTCTTAAGTATATCACAAAAGGCCCAAACTATAAAAGAAAAAACAAATCAGTAAATCAGATTTCATCAAAATTAAAATTTTCTACCTGTATTCTCATGTTTATAGCAGCATTAGTCCCAATAGCTCAAATATGGAAGCAATCCAAGTGTCCACTGATGGATGAATAAACAAAATGTGGTATATACACCCAATAGAAAATTATTTAGCCTTAAAAAGGAAGGAAATTCTGACACATGCTACAACGTGAATGGACCTTGAAGACATTATACTCAGTGAAATAAACCAGTTACAAAAGGACAAATGCTGTATGATTCCACTATAGATCTAGAATAGGTGTAGGTACCTAGAATAGTCAAATTCGTGGACAGAAAGTAGAATGATGGTTGCCAGGGGATGGGGGAAAAGGGGATGAGGAGTTCCCGTTTAATGGGTATGGGGTTTTAGTCTGGAAAAATTTTAAAAAGTGGAGATGGATGGTGGTGATGGTTGTACAACAGTGCAAATGTACTTGATGCCACTAAATTGTAAACTTAAGAATAGTTAAAATGTGGGGCTTCTGGGTGGCTTAGTCAGTTGAGCATCCGACTTCAGCTTAGGTCATGATCTCACAGTTCAGGAGTTCAAGCCCACATCAGGCTCTGTGCTGATAGCTCAGAACCTAGAGCCTGCTTCAGATTCTCTGTCTCCCTCTCTCTGCTCCTCCCCCACTCACACTCTCTCTCTCAAAAATAAGTAATAAAATAAGCATTAAAAAAATTAAGAATAATTAAAATGATAACTTTTATGTTATATATACTTTACCACAATAAATAAAATATAAAACTCTACTTTTCAAAAGACATTGTTATGAAATTTGAAAAGACAAGCCACAGACTGGGAGAAAATATTTGCAAGACATGTATCGACAAGTGACTTGTACCTAGGAATATATTAAAAAACTCATACAACTTGGGGCGCCTGGGTGGTGCAGTCGGTTGAGCGTCCGACTTCAGCCGGGGTCACAATCTCGCGGTCCGTGAGTTCGAGCCCCACGTCAGGCTCTGGGCTGATGGCTCAGAGCCTGGAGCCTGTTTCCGATTCTGTGTCTCCCTCTCTCTCTGCCCCTCCCCCGTTCGTGCTCTGTCTCTCTCTGTCCCAAAAATAAATAAACGTTGAAAAAAAAAAATTAAAAAAAAAAAACAACTCATACAACTTAAGAAGACAGGCAACCCAATTAAAAAATGGGCAAAAGATTCAAACAATTCACCAGTGAAGTGGAATGGCAGATAAGCACCTGAAAAGATGCTCAATATTATTATTCATAATGGGAACTGCAAATTAAAACCACAGTGAGATACCACTAAAATGACCAGAATTAAAAAGACTGACTATACCAAGTGTTGGTGAGGAAGTGGAATAACTGGAACTCTCATATACTGCTGATATAATTGTGTAAAACGGTAAAAACACTTTAGAAAACAGACTGACAGATTCTTTAAAAGTTAAACATATACCTGACATACCACCCCGTTATTCTACTCCCTAGATATTTTCCCAAGAATTGAAAGCATATGTTCATATAACACAAATGTTCATAGCAGCTTTATTTGTAATAACCAAATATTAAAAGATACCCAAATCTATCACAGTACATAAAGAAATTGGTGGTGGGGTGCTATGTGTATATATACATATACAGTGGGATAATATTCAGCAATAAGAACAAATGAACTATTGGGCAGCTCAGTTGGTTAAGTATCTGACCTCAGCTCAAGTCATTTTCTCACAGTTCATGCATTTGAGCCCTGCATCGAGCTGTGTGCTGACAGCTTAGAACCTAGAGCCTATTTCAGATTCTGTGTCTCCCTCTCTCTCTCTGCCCCTCCCCCACTCGCTCATTCTCCTCTCTCTCTCTCTCTCTCTCTCTCTCTCTTTCAAAAAATAAATAAACATTAAAAAAAGGAGGAATGAACTATTGATACATGCAAAAACATGGATAGATCACAGAACAATTAGAATGAAAGAAATCATACAAAAGAAGTATAGATTATTTGGTTCCATTTTTACAAAATTCTAGAAAATGTACCCTGACCAGGAGTGACAGAAATCAAATCAGTTGCCTGTTAGCTAGGCACTGAGTTTATGTCATCTAATAAAAATAAAATAGAGCCTGAGTGGTTGGTCGTAAGGGGACAGTTCGTGACTAACATGCATTGGACTGTTTTTACTTTGTTTTTTTCTGGCACCATTCTCTTTACCACTCATCCCCAATTCTAAACATCTTAAACCTAAAACTAATCATTTCTTTGTGTTTAGAACCATGCTCCAGTATCAGCCTCAAATGATAGAATAGAAAGCAATTGTAATAATTGGAACAAAAGTTAATTCAGCATTAGAAAGTTTACAAATTGAAAAACTCGTATTATCAGTAGAAGAACAGATAAATTGTGATAAACTTCTAGAGTAGAATTTCATACAACAGTGAAAATTAATGAGTTAGAGTTTTATTTATCAACATAGACAAATCTCAGAAGTATAGTGTGAAGTGAAAAAAGCAAGTTGCCAAGTGTACGTATAGTTTGGTAAGATTTAAATTTTTAAACATGTAACAGGTTTTTAAACATGTAATACATATTTCTTGTTTATGGATATGTGCATGCACTTTAAAGTATAAAAACCTCAAAGAGAATGACAGACACCAAATGCAGGATAAATGTTACTCTGGAATGGGATTAGAATGGGTGACAGAGAAAGAAACCTTCAATTGGATCTCTAATGCTTTCATTCTTAGGTGGATTGGGAAGTATATGACTATTTGTTAGATTATCATTTATAAATTTCATAATTTAAAAAGTGTTTAAAGACCAAACAGTGAAGAAATGAAGCAAATGATATAAGTGGTTGGACGTAGAACAAATTTTATTTATTCATCTATATCCTTATGTATTTATTTCCCATAGTTTCTATGTGCACTACCAAGAAGGGAAGGTTATGAGTTCTTTGTAGGACAATGGACAGGTACTGAACTCCACTTCACTGCACTTATAAATATTCAGGTAGGTGGCCTATACTCATCCCCTAGAAGAGGAGTCTTCCTTTGTGGGACTATGAGCCCTTGCTGAGGTTTGAGGACACAGTATCTACTAACTCCCAGCAGTATTTGCTCTGGTATTGATGAATTGTCATACTTTGTGTATCGGGCTAGCTGTCTAGACCCTAGTCAATACCTAGAAATTGGAAAAGACCCCAAAACGTATTTTCTGACTACATCTGGTCTCTTGTGTCTCTTCCCCAGACCTCTATACCATTTGCTGCATGTGCCTCACTTAACAAACATGGGTGAACTATGATGGTTATCTTTTTAACCCTAAGGTAGATTCCACGTCTTGCTTGTGTTTTATTAACCAAGTCAGCACTTTCCAAGATGCTAGATGCATAGTTTCCATTCCATAGGTGTCATTTTGTTTGCTTCCTTCTATCCTTTCTCTTTCTTTGTTTTATTCCCAAATATTAAATTAAGAAATTCAATCTAAAGCATTTGAAACTTTTAAAAAAAAGAAGTCAGTAGTTTAAATCAGATCATAACTAGGATTTATATTATATATTTGGAGGCCAAATCTGGCCCCCAAATCCACAAGCTTGTGTTATAATGGCTTTGAACACAGGGGAAAAAGAAGTACAAGATAGAATAAGAGTTTCTTCATTTCTGTATCCCATGTGATTATATGCTAAAATTGTATCATGTTTGGTAACAAAAACAAAGGCAGGGTGTGGGTGGGAGAGAAAAAGCAGAATGAGGGGGCAGACTTTACTTTTTTTTGTGGATGAATTAAAAATAACATTTATTGGGCACATACTATAATAGCCAACCCTTGATGTACTTACTATATGCCAGGTGTTTTATATACATCATGTTTTTTAATCTTCACAAATGTCCCATGAGATAGTTACTGTCATTATTTCTCTAGAGAGAAGAACATGAGCCCATGCTAGGAAGTTAGGAAGCTAATATAGATGAGTGTGGTAATAGGTGCCAGGGCTAGATTTGATTGACTCAAAACTCTGTGAACTGAACCATTATGCCACTGTATTAGGGATGATGTTCGGACTTGGAGACCTGTGAGACAAGGTCCTTGCCCTCCTGAAGCTCTTAGACAAGTATAAGAGAAAAATCTAGAAACATAATTATGATCAAAATGAGCAATATATTTGAAGTATATTGGGGGGGGGGACTGAGAGGCAGAACCCTAGCAATAGTTAGGTATTGATAGTTAGAAAGACTCTTGCTGAAATTTAGAGATGAAACCCAGAGATCTTTTTTAAATGTATAGTTGTTTCCTCCTGTACTATATGAAGGCTTTAACTTTGAACCCAGCCTCTGTTCCTAGTCTGGACTGAGGTCTGATAACCACTACCCTCTCCACTCTTCATGAAATTATGATGTTCCCATTCTTCTTTTCCCCCCTATCTCCCACTCAGATTATATTTTAAAACTGCACATTACAAATCTGGCCCATGTGCAAACTCTCCAGCTGTTTGCTGCAGCTTAAAAGAGCTCAGTCTTCAGAGCCAGCCAAGGGGAGTAGATTTCAACTGTGAAATGCACTAGTCCATAAAAGTGGCAATTACACAGGCATATTGCTTTCTTTAGAACTTGATTTGGTAGCTGCTTGTGCCGTTTTGTTTTTAAATATATGGCCATGATGAAGGATTCACTGCCTACTGTAAACATTTTCTGGGAAAAAAGCCAAACCCTTTTCAATTGAAGACACAAATAACACTGTGCAAACTGTCAGTTTCACGGTGCCTTGGCAAGCCTGACCAGGTGGCCAGGCCTCTGACTCACTGGCCACCCAAGGGGCTGTTAAGAGCCCAAATTTCCTCCAGACTCTCTATTGCTCTGAAATTGCAGTTTTGTGTGGTGGTACCTTATTGAGCCTTGATAAGTGTTTGTCCTTACAGACCCGAGGGGATGCTGCAGCCAGCCAGTTGGTTTTATATCACTACCCTGAACTTAAGGAGGAAAAGGGCATAGTGCTGATGACAGCAGAAATGGATACCACATTTCTGGTAAGAATTAACTTTCATCTCTTTGGATTTACTTGGTGGCCCTGAAGGTACTATCCTTCTGCCAAAGATCATGAGAGGTAAAATTCCAGAGACCTACATGTACTTGTTTCTTACTTAAAGTTGGTCATAATTTTGTCTCGCAAGAGCTCCTCCAAGTTAAAGTTAGTGCAATCACTAACTCAATCACTTATTCACAATTTTGAAGTCCATAAGCTCTGAAAACAAGGTTTCCTCATAATTCATTTGGTCACAAAACCTTACCTGACTAGAACTTACTTGGTAGCTAAATCTTCATTTAAACTGATGTAAGGCCACTTATAGTCCTTATTAATCCCACTTGATGTAGAATAGTCATACATTTTACTAAGGAAATATTAATGTGTTTGCTTATGGGGTGTTGCCTAATGTACCTATCGCCTTTATAGAATACAATAATTCTGACTCCAAAACACATCTGGCCTGAAGGGTTTCAAGTAAGAGAGTGTGGACGAGCAATTGGCTTCTTAAGTATAAGGAAGAGTTCAAAGTCTAGAATAGTTCTCAATCTCTTATCTTCCTGCACACTGTTCATGTGTACTACCTTCATCATACATAGTGATTTCTCTTCCTCCTTTTCCTGTAGAGCATCAACCATATGTCCATAGGTAATGATGTCCATTGTGTTTGTTCTTTCTGTATATCCAGGGCCAGGAGCAGTTTTATGGTTCTTGTACAGCTGGTTTGTCTAGTCCTTGCTCATCTCTGTCTCTCTTATTTGGCAGGATTTAAGTTCAGGATGTCCTCAAGACAGTGGACACTTTAGTGCCTCTTCCCCCCAAGATTCATTACAGCACCCATTTATTTTTCCTCTCTCTCTTTACCAGCCACTTACAGAGAAGGAAAAAGTGAGGACACTCAGCTGGTATCTCATAGTAGCAGTAAGCCCCAAGTCTGGAACCAGAACTGGAACTCTTCTTCCCTATTATCCCTAAAACTGTTCAGTCCTATTTCTCCCATTCTTCTTTCCACCATCACACTCAACTGGCAGTCACCCAAAATCCTATCCAAGAGAATGGAGTTGCCATTAACTTAGATAGATAAGATTTCAGGAAGAACAGATTTGAGAGGAAGATCTGGAGCTCAATTTTGGATATATTAAATCTGAGATAACTTTTAGATATCCAAGCAGTAGGCAGTAGAACTCCAGTGAGCCTGGAGTTCAGGGGGGAGGTCCAGGCTGGAGATATAAATATGGGAGTTGTCAGCAGGCAGATTATTATTTAAAACCATGAGACTGGGGCACCTGGATGGCTCAGGCAGTTGCACATCCACCTCTTGATTTCGGCTCAGGTCATGATCTCATGGTCTGTGGGTTTGTGAGATTGAGCTGTGTGTGAAATTGTCTCCTCTCTCACAGTAAATAAATAAACATTAAAAACAAAAACAACACCATGAGACTGAATGCAATCACCAAGGAAGTAAATGAAGATAAAAAGAAAAGAGGTCTAAGAACTGAGCCTGGAGACATGAGGAAGCTTCAGCAAAGATTTAAAAGGAATAGTCAGTGAGATAGGAAAACTAAGATGGTAAAATGCCCTGAAAGCTAAGATGTAATGTCTCAAGGAATAGGGAATGCTCAACTGGCCAAGTCTCACTTGCTGGTAGTGCAAATGAGATGAAGACTGAGAATTTACTAGATGTCACAACATGGAAGTCATTAGCGAGCTTTTTAAGGACAGTTTCAGAGGAGTGGTAGGACAAAAGCAACATTGGAGTACATTTAAGAGAGAATGGGAAGAAAAATTACAAAGAGTAAGCATAAACAAGTCTTTTCAAGGATGGTTCTGTGAAGGGAAGGAGAGAATGAGACACCAGCTGGAGTGGGAGATGTGGGGACAACAATGTTTTTGTTTTAAATATGAGAGAAATAACATTATATTTATATGCAGGTGGAAAGATTCAGTAGAGAGGGAAATACTGATAATTCAGGAGAAAGAGGAGAGAATTGTTGAAGTATTTTTGAGTGGGCAAGTCTGGAAATGAGGGATTGATCTTTGCCAGAAATATCATAATAGGAGAGAAGCCAGAATATATACAGACACAAATACAGTTAAGTGGATAAAGGTGTGGGTGGTATCTTGAAGAAGTTCTCTCTAGATTGCTTAGAAAGAAAGGTCATCAGCTGAGAGGGAAGATGGAAGAATAGGTGTTGGACAATTGAGTGGAAAAGAGAAAGTGAAATGGTTTCCCAGGACAGAGTTGGCAACCACGGCCTGTGGGCCAAATCCAATGCATTATCTGCTTTTAGAAGGGCCGTGAGTTAAAAATGTTTTCTATATCTTTACATGGTTGGAGGGGGAAGGAGCAGAACTAAAGAAGAGTAATATTTCATGGCCTATGAAAAGTGTTTGAAATTCAAATTTCAGTGCCTATAAATAAAGTTTTATTGGAACACAGCCATACTTATTATTTACATATTATCTATGGCTGCTTTAGGTCCACATCAGAGTTAAGTAGTTGCAACAGAGACTGTAGGGCCAGGAGAACCTCAGATACTAGCCATGTGTCCTTTTACAGAAAGTGTTTGTCAACATGTGGTCTAGGAGAATGAAAGAGAGACTGGCTGTGTGGGTACAGGCACAGAGAGAGGGCTGAGATTTGGATTTATCTGGGGTTATAGTTCAGCCAAGTGGTCTAATGAAGTATAAGAGACTGGGAAGTTAAAGGTGAGTGCAAAAGAATGATTATAATTACTGACTGTGGAATGCAAGCTGGCTAAAGAGGGAAGTGAAAACATAAGGAAGGTTTAGAGACCATAAGAATTGTGAGTTCTGGTGGCGTTAAAAGATTTTTGAAGGTGGGAGTGAGCTTAAAAGATAGGAAAATATAGACCAACTGTGGATGTTTCAAATTGAGATTTGGAGGGGATATAGTTACTGCTAATGACAAGGTTTAAGATTTGACCACAGGAAGGAGGGAGTAACACAGAGACTTTCTTTTCTGGACTTCAGCAAAGCCCAGCATCTAACCATATTGAAAGTGTGGACTCTAGAGGTCACAGGAGGCCCTTCTGCTCTGGCATTTTTACCACCTCACTCTGGTGGTCTCAAACTGCAGCACAGGCCTCATCAAGATTAAAATTTGCTTCCTGGCCTTATAATATTGGACAGCATGCCAAACAATATACATTTGCCTCATAGAAATCAATGTGACTGTGAGTTTCTTACTCGCAGTACAGAACTAGACATGTTAGAGTTTATTGTAGAGCCTGTGACTCCGAGATGGGAAATCTAGAGATGTAATATGAATATATGATCCCTTGCTGCTCTTTCATGAATTTGCACTTTGGCATAGTACTTCCAAAAACAGTAAGGCAAATGAAGAGAAACATACAGAATTGAGAACTGATAACTTTAATGCCGAAATTTAGTAGAATATTTGAAAACCTTATTTGGTTCCACCTCTGTGTCAATGGATGATTTCATTGGAATGCAGTCAGTGCTTAGGGTAGAGTACTGGGATGCTTATGCAGGGGGTGTTTGTTACCTGGCCCAGAAGGAGGAAGGAGATCCTAGATCCCTGGGCTGAATCTCAAAGATGAGCAGGAATTTAGCCAGATAAAAAGGGAGGTGAGGGAGAATGTTCCAGGCAAAGGGAATAGCAAAAGTACATGATGCTCGGAGGCATAAAATGACTGGAGGTATTACAGTTTGGTATTTTATTTATGTATATATATATATATATATGATATTTTTTATACATATATATGATTTTTGATATAACATATTTATTTTTTTTCTTTTTTTTTTTTTTTTAATTTTTTTTTAAACATTTATTTATTTTTGGGACAGAGAGAGACAGAGCATGAACGGGGGAGGGGCAGAGAGAGAGGGAGACACAGAACTGGAAACAGGCTCCAGGCTCTGAGCCATCAGCCCAGAACCCGACGCAGGGCTCGAACTCACGGACCGCGAGATCGTGACCTGGCTGAAGTCGGACGCTTAACCGACTGCGCCACCCAGGCGCCCCGATATAACATATATTAAAAGGAACATTTGGTGGGTTGTGTGTAGAGGTTTGGCTTTATCCTGAGAACATGAAAGTGTCATTAAAGGTTTTTGAACAGGGAGTGACCCATAAAGAGTTGGACTTCAAGGCCATTTACCTTAATTATTTGCTTCCTAAATATATTTTAGTTCTAGCCTAGTCAGTATGATCATTTAGAAGACAGTTGCAATAGTGTTAGCAAGAGATAGGGAAGACCTGAAGTGGAGTAGTAAGGGTGATGGAGAGAGAGGGGCCCTAAAAGTAGATAGTAAAATGGACAGGGTTTGGTAAGTTGATAGTATCTATGAAGATTGAAAGAAAGGGAGGAATCAGTCTATTTAATATACCTCCTTATTGAGCAACATAGGAATGAATATATTTATCTTCTTGGGTCCTAGAAAGGGAGACTATTGCTTCATATTGAGACCTAAGGCAGGGGGAGGGGGCTTTCCATAACCCTCTGTGAGAGACAAATACACGTCTCCCATACTAGTGGTTAGAACCCTTTATCCAAACAAAATCTTATTATGTAAAACCTCTGATATAACAGCCGACACAGGTAAAGGGACCTGAGCCACCTCCACAGAGCCCCTAGCACTCTACAGTGTGGACAGCACTGTTCTAAAATGAATACAGCTAAAACTACCTTTACCTCCACTATTCTGAGCCTTGAATTAAAGTTGATAATTGGAGGTCCCTATAGTTCATAGGACCAGAAAGTAGTGGTATCTGCCTCCAATTATGGCAGTGCACTTGCTTTAGAAATGGTTTACTCTTGAGGCATGTTTGAGTAGAGGAAAGGTAAAATTGATGAAGTAGTTATCAGTTTTGACCAGTCTTAATTATCTTGCCCCACCAGAAACAGTATCAGGATGAAGTAGAGGGAGTACCAGTCTAGGAGTCCAGAGGACTGGTCCTGGCTCTGCCATTTGCTAGTCATATGACCTTGGACCCATCCCTGAACCTCATCTTCTTTTACTTCCTGGCCTATTAAATGAAGACTGGGTGATCTCTGAGGCTCCTTCCAGCTCTAAAATTCTATTAATTTGAAATACCCAGAGTTTTGGAAGAAGGCTTTTGATTGAAAATCCAGTCTCAGAGATTAGTCCCTGCCTGTGAGAAATGACCTGAAAGCCCCATGGGAGGAAATGGAGGTAAAGCAGCCTATGGTATTCATAAATCCATTTTCATCATTCTGTAGCTAGACATAGCACACTTTTGGCAGTTAGTTTTAGTGGGAATTTCCCACTATCTTTTGCAGTTGGGTTTTGGCCATATGAACACAGTGATGATGAGTAAGTGCCTCTGACCAGCTAGAACTAGAGGATTGCATAGGAAGCAAAAGTAATAGTTGTTTGAGGTAGTTCTTTTGTAAGGTTTTGAGAGTGTAGCTTGTGTCCTGACCCTATCTCTGTTACATGGAGTGAGTGTACCATTTCTCCACAGCTGAGCTTTAGACAAGGTGGACCCTTCTCTTCCGTGGAGCTTTGCTGGTAGATTTGCATAGCAAATTATTCCAAAATTTAGTGGCTTAAGACAAAAAAATTTATTACCTCACAGTTTCTGTGGGTCAGGAATTCAGGAGCAGTACAATTGGATGGCTCTGGGCATAGAGTCTCTCATGAAGTTGCCAGGATGTTCGCTCAGGCTGTAGTCATCTGAAAAGAAGGTTGATTGGGCTCAACGACCCACTTCTAACCCTGTGGCATGGCTGTTGGCAAGAAGCCTCATTTCCTTGCCACATCGGCTTCTTCATAGGGCTACTTAAATGTCCTAATGACTTTGGCAACTGACTTTCCCCAGAGCAATTCAAGAGGGATAGCAAGACACAAGCTGCAGTGTCTTCTGTGACTTAGTAGAAGTCATTCTTCATTTCACCGTGGTCCATTTGGAAGAAGCAAGTCAGTACGTACAGCCTACACTCAAGGAAAGGGAAACTAGGCTCCCTCAAAGAAAAAAGTGTCTTAGAATTTGTGGACAAACTGTAGAACCACACAGCTGACTTTGGCACTAGTTTTCTGACTGAGGTGGTTTCAGGAACAGTGTTTATTCAAGAGTATGTCTGGTTAGTCAAGAACTTAGTACTGACTCACAAACTGGTTCTTGGAGGTGGGTAACTATTGCTCTTTTTCCCTCCCTTGAGATATACCTAACAGTTACTGAGGAACTGAATGAAAAGGAAAATTTTAGACATATTTGTTACTTTATTTAGCAAACATTGACCAGATATGACCATGTGCAGGAATGTAGAGCAAGCACATACTTTGAGGAATTCATACTAGGGAAGACACAAAAAAAGCAAAAGAGGGAAAAAAAGGACATACAATTTAATATGATACATACTATGGTAGAGGTCAGCATGGTGTAATTTGGGTGCACAGACAAGGGGCACCTAACAAAGACTTGGATGTCAAGGAGTCAGAGAAGCTTTCTGGAAGCAGTGACTCCTGGGTAAGGCCCCTCCACCTGTCACAGGACTCAGAGATAGAGCTTTATGGCCCTGTGCAGGGAAGGACCTCATTACTCTTTCTACCTTACAGAATGTTGCTGAGGCACAGTGCATTGCCAACCAAGTTCAGCTCTTCTATGCCACTGACCGGAAGGAGACCTACGAGTTAGTGGAGACCTTTAACTTCAGACCAAATGAATTCAAATATATGTCTGTCATCGCTGAATTGGAGCAAAGTGGACTTGGAGCAGAGCTGAAATGTGCCCAGAACCAGGATAAGACTTAGAGCTGTAAGGATTGGCTTACAGCATCTGCTCAGCCCTGGATAGTTTTTTAAAGCCCACCTGCCCCCTTGAACTTTTGGAGCTTAACAGATATAAGGAGCAGTCTCTAATGAGTTGACCTGTGTGCTTATTGCAAGTAGTAGTCATGGAGGTGAGCCCTTTTACTTGATATTCAGGAATGAAGGTAGCAGACATTCTGAGAATTCTCTGCCAGCGTATTTAAGCTTTCCTTTTTAAGTGTTTGAGGTCATAACCAGAGAGAGCTAAGGATCCACAGGATGGTTGATTTTACTTTACACAGTGTAATAGTGCTATGCACCGTACAGCTCCCAAATGATTAGTTCCTCATATGTATAAACTTGTGACAGGGTAATAAGCTTGACAACCTGCTGTAGTTAGACGTGGGCTTTGCATACTCTTCCTGTGTGCCCCTTGGCTGACCAAAGGCATAGCCCAAATATCCTGTTTAGAATCTAGAACAACCAGATATTGCTATCAGGATTAAGACTTAATGTAGATGTCCCCAGAGTTGCCTTTAGTGTAGCTGGTTTGGAGGGTCTTGTAGATTTCAAGTGTAGTTAAATACACCAGTATGGTGCCTGCGTACTGTTAAACCATAGTTTGTGGTACCTCCTCCTCTAGAAGCTGTGTATTTGGAGGGGGGGAGTCAGTACAGTGTCAACAAATCAACACTTCTGTAAGGAAAGGATTGATCCAGATTTGCATGTTTTGCTTTGTTTGTTTTAAACAACTCTAGGGGCGCCTGGGTGGCGCAGTCGGTTAAGCGTCCGACTTCAGCCAGGTCACGATCTCGCGGTCCGTGAGTTCGAGCCCCGCGTCAGGCTCTGGGCTGATGGCTCGGAGCCTGGAGCCTGTTTCCGATTCTGTGTCTCTCTCTGCCCCTCCCCCGTTCATGCTCTGTCTCTCTCTGTCCCCCCCAAAAAAAAATAAACGTTGAAAAAAAAAAATTTAAACAACTCTAAACCATGCCAGTATTAAATGAAAAAGTAGGTGGAAGCAAATGTTCCCAGATTGGGTGTGGGGAAAATGTAGCAATAAAATAAAGTCTGGCTTACAGTCTTTTTACACTAAACAGTGAAATCTAACCTCTGTGCTGTCCTTGGTGTCAGTGTGAATCAGTGGACTGATCAAAACCTATCTTTGGACTCAGCAGTTGCTTGAAACGCCAAATACAAGAAAGGAGCTCTCCAGCACTGAAAACTCACATTTGGTTTGTAGTGTCATTGTTGTGGCTCCCAGCTCAGTGATAGAAGAAGGTGGTGGTTACACACCAGCCTTCTGAATCTGAGGTACCAGAGCCCCCCCAGTATTGTCATCGACCCCCTTTATTATGCCTTTCCTTTTCCTGATCTGATGTGCTCCAACTTTGCCGCTCCTGCCTGCGGTTTGCCTGTGTGACACTGAATTGGTAAGTGAGAATGTAACCAGGAGTTTTAGACTGTGTGTGTATATGTTCTTTATTATGGAAGATTGTTTATAGGTTGGGCCTGTCTCTAAGCTCTAGAGATGGGATTGGTCTTTCCATTGTTTTCTGAGCTGTGTCTGTTTTGTTGTACTTCTGAGTCTGTGTGTAGAAAGAGATCGTGTGTATTTAAAGCTGAAAAAGCTGCTAGCCTTTCACAGTTTCTCTAAAGGTTGAGCTCTTTCCTAATGCAAATTCTGGATCTGCCTCTGTTCTGACAGTTCATTTTTTGAGAAACTTGAGTCTGGATGTTTCGAGTCCCAGGAATTTTTGACATCAGGTTGGAGTTGCTTTCATGGGTATCCAGCGATGTGTGCTTTTCCCTCTGGATGGACCCACTTCTTGGCCATAGTACATTTTTATAACACCTCCACCAGAGTGTGAGAAGAAATAAGATGATGGAAGAAGAAATAAGAATTAATTGGCTGCTCGTTCCTCCCAGCTTTGCTCTATATCCCCACTTGCCAGCAAAGAATGTATACATGGACAGTTATATTGGACATGGTCAGAATGCCATCTGGCTGCTCTTTATAACTTACCTGGCAAGATCTGGCAAAGAACCAAAAGAAAATTGTGACAGTCAATAAATTTGTACCCTGGTGCGACATGGTGTTACGGGAAGTGGACGAGTTTTAGAGTTAAGTGAATCTGGGCTCAGATGTCGTGTTGGGATTCATTAGCTCTGTAATGTTGAACGAATTATCTAAAGCCTTTGATTCTATTTCTCCATCTGTAAAATGTGGACCATAATAATATCTACCTCGTAGGATTACTGTGAGAATTTAAACAGACTTACACGTAGACTACAGTAGAGCTTCATAAATGTCAATACCACTCTTTTCTACTCCCCCTCCTGTCATTAAAGACCAAATCAGTGTTTCAGATGCGGAAATCGTTCTTCATTCTGGTGTAAAGAGCAAACCTTATCTCACAAGTTCTCAAACTTTAAGTTGCAGTAGAATTACTTAGAGCACTTTAAAATGCAGATTCTCAGGTCCCCCACCCTGCTGAATCATAATCTTTTCAGAAGGTGCTGGGAATCTGCGTTTAAGATGTGCTCCAGATGATTGGGATGTAGGTAATTCACCAGTCACACTTTGAGAACCATTGCCTTATCTGTTCTTCACAAAAAAAACCCTCCCATTAGCCAGATCTTTCTTTCCTACGGACATTAACCTTAGGATTGGTTCCTTTGCTCTTGCCTCCCATAGTGGTCTCCCTTTATGTACTTTAAAGTATAATTATTTATGTATGTATCTTTTTTTCCCCACTAGACTGTGAGCTCCTTGAGGGCCAGAGTTTATCTCCATTCCCAGTGCCAAGGACATGGCCTGGAACATAGATGATACTGAGTTGTTTGTTGAATAAATAAATAACATGGATTTTAGCCAAAACATGATCTTGTATGTGTACCTATATTTAAATACTCTGAATTTAAGTGAATCTCTCCACATCCACAGATTGGAACTTACTGAGTAGTAATATCTGCAAAACCAAGGCCAGCTTCTACACAGTGTCTGTATCTCACCAGTCCGCTGGCATTACCACAGTGGGCTGTCTGCCCAGGACAATTCAGCAGGCACTCACAGAGCGCTTACTCCAACCGCCATGTAGGAAGATGAGTAGGATGGTCCCTGCCCTCAAGCTGTGTTCTGGCCGCAGCCTGAGTCTCTTTTCCCTCTGCCATCGTGCTTCATATCTGGCACCTGGTCTTAGTTCTTCTGCTTCTTTCTTCAACCAGTTTGGAAGCAGGAACCACATGTTCTGTTTTTTGTAGTCTCTACAACCCTGACCTTATTCAGTCTTGGAGGAGAGGTATAAATGCCCACCCCCAGTCATTTGATTTAGCATTGATTCAGCATCCGTTAATATTTTTTGAGCACCTATTGTATGCCAAGCACAGTTCTAGGAAAACTGGGGAATACAACAGACAAGATAAATAAGGCCCCTGTTTTCATGGAGCTTATCTCCTTGTGGAGAAGACAAATGAATAAACCAGTAAGATTATTTCAAATACTGGTAGTGCTATGAAAATTAAAAAAAAAAAAAATAGTGTGCTAGAATGTGGAGTGGAGGCAGTAACTTAGTGGTCAGGAGAGCCCACTCAGCAGAGGTGGTAGTTGATACATGAGTTGAGGATAAGCCCCAGGTAGAGAGAACAAGTGCTGAGGACTTGAAGCAGGGTCAAGCTAAACATGAGTGTTTCCGGGTGCAGTATATAGGTTCATTCCCTTGAGGAGCTCACAGTTCAGCAAGTGAGACCCTGACATGAACTACTATAAGGCCAGTGCCATCTCAGAAGAGGGGCAAGGAAGGCTAAAGAACACTGCTGGGTACTGTGGGGATGCACATCTTGCCAGATCATGGCACCCACCATGAAGATTTTGGCTTGTAATAGAGAATAAGAGGTAGACGATATCAAGGTCTCAAAGAATATGTGCTCCATACAGAAAGGCCCGATGAGTTCAGAGCTGACCTCACAATATATACACGTTAGCAGTAACCACTAGCATAGATGACTGGAGGCTCACCACGTGTCAGGCGCTGTGTAAGCCCTTTGCATGGATTATCTCAATCCTCACAACCCTGTGAGGACAGCAGGAACCTGCTAGTTGGTGAGATGCTCTGCTGCCCTCTACACCAACCCTGTCCTCCCCTACTTCCAGCTCAGATAAGATGGCAGCCTCCCAGTTACCCCTAACCCCAGCTCCAGCAGCCAGCTCAGGCCCTGGGAAGTCATGGGTGGCTCTTGAATCAGCCCTTGCTCTGAGACACAGGTATGCCAATCTTCCTGCTGTCAACTAAAGAACAAAATGCATGCGTTAAACATTTCTGATTTCTCCAAACTTTATTTCAAAAGGCTTCGTGTTCTAAGGAGAACTTGCTTTGTGCTGCATGGAACACTCTGGTCTTGGCAATTCTAATGTGGCACGGTGGTGGCAGCATTTTTGTCCCTGTTCTGCTGAAGGAGAGGCTCAGGGCACAGAAAGAGAAGAGGTGGCTTAAAGGTCATTGTCTGCATCAGGAGCCAAGCCAGGAATAGAAAGTGACTGTCCAGGCCCCAGACTTAATGGTGTCGTTGGTAACGTCCACTGAGCAGGCTCATATCCCTCACATTCACAGGGCTACCTCTGAACTCTCTGGACCTCAGGAACTAGAAGGGCTGCAAGAAACATTGGTTTGAAGCATTATGAATCCTCCCGGGCTCCCTAGAGCTTTCAGAACCAAGGCCCTTTGGATCAGCTCACAGGACACAGGAGCTTCAGGATCTGGTCAACTTCTCCAGGCTCATCTTGTGCTAGACCCCCACCCACTGCCTTAGCTCCAGACATTCTGGATGACCAGCAGTTCCTTGAATACACTGTGCTCTTCTTACCACTGTTCTGGTCTTTTTAGATACTTTTGCCTGCCTCAACTGCCCATTTCCCCTTCATCAAGTTAATTCATCTATGTCTTTCAAAACTCCACTTAAGCATCCAGAGCCTTCCCTGACATCTGCCCCACTCCCTGCTGCCCATCATGTGCTCCTCTGTGACTCCCCGGCATTTTGTGCTCCACATTTACAAGGCTGTCTCTCCCATAGACTGGATGCTTTTCGGAGACAGGGATCACGTCTTATTGGACATTATCTTCCCATGAAGCCTAGCACAGAGAGAAAATACCCAGCGAATGTTGAATAAATTCCTCTTGGATGACTGCTCAGCCCAGACCACCTGTGTCTATAAACATCCCTTGCACAATGAGATCTAGCCCTGGCAAACACACTGTGATTATGTCCCAGCCCCAGGCAGCGGGCATTTTGCTTGCTCTTATTATGGAGGCTGCACATAGAAAACAAAACCATGGGGCCATCAGAGGAAGCAACCAGCTTCAGGGTATGTAAGCAGGAAGAACTGAGAGACAATGTCCAAACTTTTGGAGCAAGACAATTATTTTAAGGTACCAGCACAGCATGTTCAAGCTCCAGTCTTGGCTTACCAAATTTTATTTATTTATTTTTAATGTTTTTATTTATTTTTGAGACAGAGAGAGACAGAGCATGAGCAGGGGAGGGGCAGAGAGAGGGGGAGACACAGAATCTGAAGCAGGCTCCAGGCTCTGAGTTGTCAGCACAGAGCCCGATGCAGGGCTTGAACTCACAGAGTGTGAGATCATGACCTGAGCTGAAGTCGGATGCTTAACTGACTGAGCCACCCAGGCGCCCCAAGGCTTACCAAATTTTAACATTAAAAACAATCTTAGGGGCGCCTGGGTGGCTTGGTCGGTTAAACGTCTGACTTCGGCTCAGGTCATGATCTCGCGGTCCGTGAGTTCGAGCCCCGCGTTGGGCTCTGTGCTGACAGCTCAGAGCCTGGAGCCCGTTTCAGATTCTGTGTCTCCCTCTCTCTCTGCCCCTCCCCTGTTCATGCTCTGTCTCTCTCTGTCTCAAAAATAAATAAACGTTAAAAAAAATTTTTTTTTAAATAAAAAATAAAAAAATAAAATAAAAACAATCTTAGCCGGGGTACCTTGGTGGCTCAGTCAGTTAAGCTCCCAACATTTGGTTTCCACTCAGGTCATGATCTTAGGTTTGTGGGATTGAGTCCCACGTCGGGCTCTATGCTGACAGCACAGAGCCTGCTTGGGATTCCCTCTCCCCTCTCTCTCTGCCCCTCCCCTGCTCACTCTCTCTCTCTCAAAATAAACATAAAAATAAATGAATAAAAGGATCTTAGGGGTGCCAGGATGGCTCATTCAGTTGAGCATGTGACTTTTGATATTGGCTCAGGTCATGATTTCAAGGTTTGTGGGATCAAGCCCCACATCAGGCTCTGGACTGAGAGCATGGAGTCTGCTTGGGATTCTGCCTCTGCCTCTCTCAAAATAAACAAAGAAATTAATTAAAAGGATCTTAGAGGGGCACCTTGGTGACTCAGTTGGCTAAGCATCTGCCTCATGCTCTCAGATCAGGTCTTGATCTCAGGGTTGTGAGTTCAAGCCCTGCATTGGCCTTCGGGCTGGGCATGGAGCCTAAGATAGATAGATAATTGGTAGACAGATGAGAGAGAGTGAGAGAGAGAGAGAGGATCTTAGAGACTGTCCAGTTGCTAGTTTTCAACTGTGCTTCAGGAAATGCCAACAGTTCCTTAGAGGTGGGAATCCTGGGAGCCTGGTCCTTACCCCAAATTCAACCTGAGAAGCAGTGTTGTATTTACTGGACTTCGCCTAAGCTGTCATTTGAAGAAACAGTTCCCAAGAAAGGCTGAAAAACCGTGGTCTAGTTTAACCTCCTGCCATGATGGCAACTCTCTACAGCATCTCCTAGCCACTGGGCAACTGTTTGAAAACTTCCAGGGTCTGGGAGCTGTCCACCCTGCTAGCTGACGTGAGCCCTGCTGAAACAGGTCTGAGTGATGGTAAGTTCTTCCCCAACCAGCACTGAGACCTAGCCACCCCTCACTCCTGTCATCTTGCTGGACTTCTTTCTGCCCACCATAGCGGAGCCTCCCAGCAAACTCTGTTCACTTTTCTACCTCACAGCCTCTCCTGCTGGGGTATGACAACAGCTCTCAAGTTGCCTGGCAGCCTCTGCTGCAGATTAAGCTGCCTTCTGTCTTTCCTGAGATGACTGAAAACCCTAACACCTGCTTATGGAAAGACTGCCTCACCACTGGGGCCTGGAGCTGAGCCTAAGGTCACCTACTGGGATGACCAGAGTGGATTTAGGGTGACGGTCCTTCAGGAATTGTCATGGCCCACCTGGCAGTCATCTCCTCACACTGCCACTCACTGAGATCACCTTAGTAACCCCTCCACCTTGCCCTTTTCTCACGTCCCCACTCCCACCCTCGACTATCTCCCCACAATCAGCTGTCAAACATGGCTCTTCCTACCTGGAACTCTTGACTTCAAGGCTTCTACACGTATCCTGATTTCATGTCACCTGGCTGGTTTCCATCACAGTGTTCCCATCACATCTTGACTTGAACCTTGACTCTTGCCCAGAAGCTGTCTCCCTCTCAACAGATGTGATACTCACTTTTCCTCAGTCTTCTACATCTGCCATGGCAGTTATCAGAGATAAGTGGTACCCCCTCAAGCATTTCATTTAACCACTGCCCCCCCCCCAAAAAAAAACCCTTGCCTTGGTTTGAAACATCACTGCTGCATCATTTGGACTCTTGGGATCCGCTGTGATCCCCAGATTACTTTTGCCTAGTATTGTTATTATGCCTACATTTATGATTTGGCATGAATCCCCACCTTACATTCTTATTTCTTCAACCCACATTTATTCTCCCAATTTGGCCTTCCTCTGTTCTGGTAGAAGTAGCTGACAGATCTAATATTTTTCAGGGGAAGGAAGGGAGCAGAGAGGTGTTTTGCTGAACCTCTCTTGGTACATGTCTCCCAGGAGACTCTGAGATGTTTGCTTCCATTACTTAAGTTTCTTCCGTTTGATCTCTTTCAACAATACCATGAAGACAATGTTACTCCCATTTTACAAATGAGGATACTGGGGAAACAGCGTCATAGATGTTAAGAATTAGGTGTAAATTAGAATCCCAGGTCTTCCTTTGGACAAGTTACCCAACTTCTCTGAGTCTTTGTATTCTCATCTGTAAATTAAAAAAAAAAAAAAAAAAGTCTTATCTCAAAAGAAAAGGATTAAATGAGATAGCATATGTAGAGTGTTTAGCTCTATGCTTCACACATAATAAAAGTGCAGCAGAATCATAGCTGCTAGATTAAATACTTCATTTTTTCAAGGCAGACATCTCTACATGGAGGAGGTGGGATCTTCCACTTTTAGAACACAGATCTACTTCTAGAATATGGACCTACTTCTAAACACAAGTTTCTATTGTGCTATTTTTCCTGCACTATGTTTTCATTTCAAGAAATTCTTTTCTATGAATATAAAGAGACTTGAGCAATAGTTATCAGGTCAGAGAGCATGGCAGTAGGAATTTGGGGCTCTCAAGGCTGGATTCACAAACTGGCTGATAGGAGCCAGGAGGGGAAGGCTGGGTTAAGCCCAGACCAGAGTATACAGGTTGGAATGAGCACTATTTATCTGTCCTGATGATCAGTGCCCATACGTAGGACAGGGGAGAGAGTGGTAGGGGCAGGCAAATAAATCCAGCACCTAGGAGCTGACATCTGGGTCAGGAGCCAGTTGACACTTGGAGTTTCAGGCCAAGGTGTGGGGCCTGCCTGATTATTTGTAGATGGCTTATCGGAGACCAAATTCTTCCAGATTATAGAACTCTGCTTACTTAGCTCATTAGATTGAACAGTTTGACAGCTTTAAGAGGCCTAAAGCGTATAATTTTCCCACCTGGTTGGGCATCAAAAACACCTAAAGAGCTTGTCAAAGATGTTGATTCTTGGGCCCCACCACTAAAATATGGATTCTTTTGGTCTGAGGGGAGGCCTGGGAAACTATTTAAAAAATAAATCTCCAGGTAAGTTTACAGTTCAGCCTGGTTTGGGAACCCCTGCAATAAAGTAGTGATTATACACCTGAAGGAAAGGGCCCCAGACCAGGCAACATGACTTTCCCAATGTCACACAGGGTGTTGGTAGCAACATTCCTTCTATCTCTTTGTAGCAAATTTTCTCTGCACCTTGGTGCCAGGCAACCCAACTGTAACTATCTGAAAAACAATGGTTGGGCTTATTGTCTGCTTCTAGGAAAGATTTCTGTTCCTTATGTTACTCTCTCCTTGGAAGAGAGTTTCTGTTCCTTATGTTACTCTCTCCTTGGAAGAGTCTCACCTGGGGTGAGACTGGCTATTCCTAGCAAGTCCCAGGTAAGGACTTTGAAGGACAACAGAGGAAAGCAGAGGCCTTCCCAGACTCTTGGAGTCCAGATGGCTTCCTTGTATGATTTTGAGAGCTGAGATTTCCCCAGCTTGTGACCCCTGGAGCCAAATACTGGATTATCTGTTGCACTGGATTATCTGTGCCTGGACCCTGCAGCTGTACAGAGAATTGTGTGTTGCCCGTGTAGGCTGAAGCTCTCTATCCATCCTGTGCATATTTGCTCTTGCCTGTGGTGAGGGAGCAGAGGGGGATGATGTATGGTAGCTGGGCAGGCATGGGGGATGGATGAGAACTCAGCTACAGAGCTTGCTGGGAGACTCACACCCCATTGGAGCTGGGATTGATTGGCTGGGACTTTCTCACCCTTCTCAGTTTGTCTCAGAGCCAGCAGCCTGCACTGTGTCCTCTGGGCACCCCTGTGGGGAGGGAATTGCTTTCAAGGTCACAGAAGCTCTGGGTATCTCAGTGGTAGTCTACCATATACCTGCTTCCCAGAGGCAGAGACCCTCCACTCAAGTGACCCTCAGATAGCCTTCTTTTCCTGAACCCCTTCTCTCTGTATCTTGTCTCCTTTTTGTGTCTTTCTCTTTTTTCCCCTTCTACCTGCAGCTCACCTTAATGACTTTCTCTCCTGGGTGCTATATCTGTAGAATGTGCGGAATATGACCTGTGCCGACAGATTTTGCAAGGGTCTCAAAAGAGTGAGTGAGTGGGGCGCCTGGGTGGCTCAGTTGGTTGAGCGTTCAACTTCGGCTCGGGTCATGATCTCACAGCTCATGAGTTCGAGCCCCGCGTTGGGCTCTGTGCTGACAGCTCAGAGCCTGGAGCCTGTTTCAGATTCTGTGTCTCCCTCTCTCTCTCTCTCTCTGCCCCTCCCCCATTCACACTCTGTC